AACTGGATAAAAACTACACTTAATCAAATTAGTTGTATTTAAATTAAATTTTTTTAAAGCGTCAGAAAGAAATGGTCAAAACGTAATTATCTTTTCTTTTAATATTTTTTTAGAATCTATAATAATATTAGTGTGTTCCACTACTTATAGTTATATTTTATATGTTTTATATATTTTTTATATATTATCAATATATTTAAAGTAGCTCACGAAAAACATTCAGAGATATCCATTAAATATAGTTGAAAGATTAAATTTTATTATGTAAATATATCCTAATGATATCTACTCATGAGACTTCTATGGATATCATATAGATAAGCGAATGTACATCTTCAGTAATATCCCACGATTCTAAGAAGATAAACTCAGAAATCTCTTTAGATACATACCTAAGATTAACTTTTGCTATGTGGGTAATATAGTAATGTAGAGTTGAAGCCGGTACACCGAAGGAACAAGTCAGTAATTGGAGAGAGAATGAGAGAGAGAGAGAGAGAGAGAGAGAGAGAGAGAGAGAGAGAGAGAAAGAGAGAGAGAGAGAAACGAAAGAAGTATTTATTACACTTAATTAAACTCTGACTCCAAAATTTGTGTCTGAACGCCTTCGTTTCATTCAACGCTCTGATGCTCTGCTCGCTCTCTCGAATAACACACCATTTCACTACTTGCTGTTTATTATCTTTTTTATTATCGATTTTAATTTAATATTATTTATCTAATATTAATTTATATATCGTAATATAATTTTATTCTAATAATTGTTCTGATACATCTTATTTAGATCGAACCTCACAGTAATATTTCGCAATATATTTATGAATATTTTACTTTTTTAAATAATATTTGTATTTTATACATAATAAATAATTACAAAATAGATAGCGCAAGAATTTAGTAATATATGTATTAGTGGTATTTTTTGAAAATTATGAATCGAGAAGTATGAACAGATTTTTCTGTATATTAGATTTTATGTCAGACTATATCATTTTTAGTATACTATATAGAATAGTATACTATTATATAATATATAGAATAAAAATTGCATCTCTCTCGTAAGAATTCCGCTACAATCGATGAAATCACTGATCCTGTAAGGTCGAGTCGTCAAATGCTTATTGAACCATCGTACTTTTCGCAAACGACTTTCAGAAAATTCCTCTACTTTCGAGAAGCTTGTGGGTCAGTTCGTTTTCGCGTTGGATAAAACGCTGTTACCCCCGAGAGATTTGTTGTCGAGATTCAACTAGGACGATGACTTATCCGGACTCGCTGGACTTTAGGGCACTCTGCGGAAAGTTCTCGTGAATGGCATCAGATTCACGAATTCTTGTACTTTCATTGTTTCTGCACTCGATTCTGTTGAAGTCGGTGCTGAAAGAGTTAACGATGATTTGTGTTCAAATAATGAAGAAAATATCTTTATAATATGTTTTTCAATCATTTTATATGTGTAACTGATATTATAGAAATTGTGTGTCAAATTCATTGCAGCGATATATTTTATTAATGCCGACTGTTATATATATTTTAACGTTAATAATAAGTCATAGATTTTAATCAAACATTCTTTTGCAAGTATTTATAAAACAATATTTGATTAAATAACAATATATACGTATTCTGTATGTATAACAACTGAAAAATTAAGGAAAGATAATAAAACTTTTTAATTGATTTAAACTCAGTTTTGAACTTAAAAGATGGAAATTTTCTTTTCGTTTTGTATTATTTATATTTTTAATATTTTCTATTATACCTATTTAGTATTATTTTCTATTACATATTTAGTATTATTTAGACTACACGCAAAGAATAATTTCGCTGAAATTGTTTAAAAATTTAGCTACGTATACATTTGAAAATGATATTGTTGGAAAATTTAGAGCTACATATTGTATAGATCTAAAAATAAATTTTTTGGACCATCAAAATAATTATGTAGAACACTCAAATCGATTGTAGAAAGTAAAAACTTCTTGCAGCATTGCTCGTCATGTTTGAATTTTCTTTTACCCAATTATGGTCTAAAAAAATCATCATTATTTTTAGATCTATACAATATGTAGCTAAATTTTTAGAAACTTTAGCAAAGTCGTTCTTTCGTATATAAATGTATTGTCTTACGACAAATGTTGTTTATTGTACCTATAAAGTTTGAGCTAAATAGATAAATTAAATAAATCATATCAGAGATATGATGCTCTTGCGAAGCGTGACTGTCCTGAAATACGTTATTCGTGGAGAGCCGCGTGAACTTTGGAATATGATGTTGAGTTAGGCCGTGTAAATAGTAGAGGAACCAAGCGTGCTGGAGAGATCCCTCGAAAGAACAATACCTCTTTGTCGGTTCGCAAACGGGACTGTTTCGCTCTGGCAAACAAGTGATGGTTGCTTAGCTATGCAATAACGATACTATCCTACTGCCTGCATTGTTATTTCGGACGAGAACTAGACGCACACTTCGCTTACAGACCTGCTTATATCTGTCAGTTATTTACGCCTAACGTGTTTCAAATATGTCTCTACATTGCATTACATGGAATAACTCTCGATCGATAAACTCGTAATAATTTCAACTGTACATCTATTCGTATCATGTAACTGTACATCTATTATTATGATACATTACGCTCTATTGGCATTTATTTTTAAATTATACATACTTTAACATCCAATTTAAGTGTTTTTCTATTATATTTTTTCTACAAATTTTATTGATTTGATTAAATTTTGTCGTTGTAATAGACTGTTACCATTATTCTTCTCTAAACAGTTACTCTAAATAGTTAGTTAGAAAAGTTTTCATACAAAGGAATAGCGAATCGTTCCATCAACTCAAGCATGACGTAAAATTTCTCGTTGTTGAAATACAATGCTTTATTTTACTTTTCGACGAACAAATTTTGCTTCCGAAACTCGTTTCAGAAGCTTGCGGCGCTAGAATGTAACGGCCATTCCTGCAGAAACTTTCAGAGGGCTTGTCTCGATGAAAATATTGTATAATTAAATATATAAATTTACTCGTATTTACTGTATTTATCGGCTCGACAACAATTCCTTTATAACAATTATCAATTCCTCTTTATAATATAATTTCGAAATAAAATACATCATATATGCGAACGAGCACAATATCAATCGCAACGAATTTTTAATTGCTATATTGAATAATGCTCTGTTATAACGCATTTCATTATTTTGTGGACCTTTGATTGTTGATATTACTCATCGATCTGTTATTATTTATACCTGTCAAATGACGTAATAAAGTTATAAAATATGCAGAAATGTTCGCCTTGCAAATTCCGATCTGAAATAATCTTGTTTATGTCTTTCTCGAAAGCTATTTATTATTAAATAAAGAAGATCAAAAGGAAAATCATGCAGTAATAATTTTATATACTTACACACACACACACACACACACACGCGCGCGCGCGCGCGCACGCATGCACACATATCGCTGCTTTGCTTTAAACGTGACACAATTCAAAAAATGAAGTTTCGTAGAAAAAGGGAAAATTATTTTTAATTTAACAGAGAATTATTGACTATTCAAATCATATCGAAATATATTCTTGACATGATCAAATATCATTTTTGTCTTTTTCATTTCACTAGTTCTTAAAAAGTTCTTTTTTGTGATAATTTTGATGATTTTTAAAAATACGATTTTTTAATGAAATTAAGTTAGTTTTCTTTTGGTATTTGATTGAGTAATATTTTTTTAACTCGTTTATGGCAATAAGCTAAAAATTAAATTTTTTTATGTTATATTACTTTTGAAGTTAGCACTAAGAAAAATTTTTCTTAAAAATGAATGAATCAAAAGATTCTAATCAAAGAATTTTTATTGTATATCTCAACTAGAATTATAATAGATTTAATTTGAAAATTCTAATTTTCCATTATACAATTGTTTAAATTTTTATCACTAATTATTAACATTATGTAGTTATTTTAGATATACAGTTAATTTAATTTTTTCAAAAAATCAATATTAAAAAGATTATCACGTTTTATATTCTGTATTCATAATTGTAATTTAGGATGTAAAAAAATATTTCAATTTTATTATGCTTGTGTATTACGCAATACAATTCAATGGTGCCGCAACAGCATTGATTGTTATACTTATCAATCAAATGTTATATCATATGACGCACGTATATAATATTGTGCGATAACCTCGGACAATGTTACAAAATCTTAAGCTGCTTGGATTACGGAAGTTTAATTTGAAAGACACGTAACGAGTGTCGCTCGGTCGATCGTCAAAGCACTAATGTTATAATTTATGACAACGGCTATGTAAGGCTGTACGTCCACTGAATATTTCTGCTGCTTTTAGCAGTTTGACGCGCATATTGTCGGACACTTACTTATACAATAAACGTCAAATATTTCTTGTGCCGTTGCACCCACGAATGCACTGCGCTGCTTTACTTGATGGCAGCGTCTTCACAAGGCAATCACGTCGCCGTGTCGTTGTGCAAGTCACTGCAGTGAAGCGTTCCACGTCTTATCTAATCTCTAAGAACGCCGGTCGGTGTCTGCTTCATCGCTTTGGCCTGGTAGTGAGAAAATATTGACGAACATTCTTTTGCTCTTAACATACTGTTAGACATTTTAGGACCCACTATCTGGTTTTGCTTTGGTAATTTACAATTTACGTATGTACATAAGAATATTAATTAGATTGAATTCTCGTTTCTTCCGATTTGATTTATTCTCAAATCGATGGAATTCTTTCTGTTCTTTATCTTTTTTTAAAAAATTCTTTTTAATTTTTAATTTTTTGTGGATATTCAGGAAATAAAATCTCAACAATTTTCATACATTATTAATGAAAATATATTTCTTATTTTTAATGATCTCAATTTAATTGAGGTAAATAAAAGTTATATGTACTTTGCGATTTTCAAACAGACGACTTCAACGACGTTGATTAAAATAAGAAAGTAGCATTCTTAACTGGTGAACATTCTTTGCAGATGACGATTGACATGGCGACGTCGTAAAATCGACGCAACTCCAAATTCTTCATGGATCATAAGTGATATCGCGGATGAGAAATGATTATCATTGTGGGACTCCGTGAGAAACGTGTTCCTAAACGCGATCCATCTATCCAAAACAAACCAAGCGTCGTCATGACGCGTTTGGATCGCGCATGAACGATTACATGCCATTCCAAAAATCAACACGTCGACAATCCGAGATAAGCTGGTATTCGAACTACGTGTCCAACGTCTAATAGTGTCTGACGTAGGTGGAGAGATTCGGGTGTATCTTAATAAAAAAAAAAAAAAAAAAAAAAAAAACGCAACACACGACAACAACGCCAGCGAAAAGATTGCAAATGTGAGATTCGTTATCGATGTGGCAGAAAAATACACGAGTGCTGTAAAAAAGAGGCACGCGAGGGATGCGTTTCACAGACAAAGGGTGGGGTCTTTGGTTACCGATAAGGCTTATCCGGAGATACGATGGTCGGCAACTGCGCTCGTCGACTCGTCAGTCATAGTACTCAGGTGCCGTCGACGAGATCGTCACGCCGCTCAGGTCGCAGTAATTTCGTGATTCGCGCATCATTCTGCAGCTCCAAGGAGGTATCTTGAAAGTGTTGTTTCCGGTCCAGGTGTCCAGTGGTGTCACGTGAGTCCAAAAGGTACAGGAAGTCGATTACAGTGGAAGAAAAACCGAGGGAAACGCGCTATAAAGTCGCAACGACGAAGCAAGAACGGTAACGGGCAATCAATGCCGCGAGAGCGATTAATCGTTGTTTTCCAGGGTACTTCGAGTTTTTAATTTGACGCTTTAGCACGTTAAGTGGGCGGCGACAAAGAACGTCGACGTACATTGAAGGCGCGGAAGAGCATGAGCGAGAAGAAGTGAGGGGAAAGTTGAGTAGAGGAGACTGGAGAGGCAAAAATGTGTACAGGACAAAAGGCTTAGGTGTAGCATATCAAGATACGGTTTCTCTGTCCTCCGCTCTCCTTCCATCCTGTCATTTTTTTCCTTTTCTCTTCATTTTTTCGCTGTCGCTTACGGCGCAAGCCGCGAACGGTGCCCCGTTTCGCCTCTATTCTCCCTATCTTCTCCGCCCACCGCATCATGCTCTTTGTACAGCTTCCGCCTCATGTGTTAAATTATGTGTGATCTCTTTGACATTCGACAACCGCTGTAGTTCCGGTAATTATATCCCTCGTCACCACGAATTTACTACTCCACTTCGTGCTCCCTTCAAACTAACGTATTTCTGCGCCCTCATCTTTTTGCCCTCGACGGACCTTCAAATGTAATCCGCAAGAAGCTAAAATCTCTTCACCGTGAGTTCTTACACCCGTCGCGTCGACTCGACTTTTCTTCCTTCCGCGTTGCGTAGTGGCAGGTTCGCAAGTACCTATTCAATTCTCTCTTGGTTTTATAAGAACAGACCTAGTAAAACCGACGCGAACCTTTACTTTGAATTACTTTAACTCTGAATCTTTTTTCAGTTCGCTTATACAACCGACGGTAAATTTTTTTTATCTCACAATTAATGATTAATACCATACAAACGCTCTTACTAAATCGCTCGCAATGTTGAATTTAAAACGATTAATATAATAGATTGAGAAAAGTTGTGAATTTATATTATATGTAAAGCGACTCTCCTTTCGTATTTCTGCATGATTTTGCTTGCTAGAGATTGAAAAATCAATTTTAATTAAATTTTAATTAAATTTTAGCTACAAAACAGCAAATATAGTGCTCCAATTAAATAAAAAATTGGATTATCTATTTTTGATAAAATCCTACAAAGCCGCAAACAGTCTTTTTTAATAATAAGTCAGACACAATCAATAATATTTAAAATTTTATGTTTTTCTTAAATTTATGTAGACTTTAATTTGTATATAAGTAATAAATAAAGTATAACTTTTATTTTCTATTTTTTAAATTAAATTTTAGATCTTTCTTCTTAATTATATTAATCCTTACCGTATAAGATACAATTTGGTGCCTCATCCATACAAACGGGGGTCACTAGATCTGTCCGTTTTTTCATCTATTTAGAATGCTCAAAAGAAATCTCTAAAAATTCACCAACATACTTTCAAGTTTCTAGAATAAATATTGGAACTACATTTTGGAAAATAATTAAATGTAGTATAATTTATATAATAATTACCGAAAGACTCAAAGAAACTTGCACGAACAGGAATCGCTCGGTCACTAATGACCCATACTTGTAGGATTAAAGTTACGAGTATCATTTATAAATGGAATAGTCAAACTATACGATATATCATGCAAATTCTAAAAAACACGCTCCTGATATCTGACACATTTAAATATTTTAAATCCCATCCATCTTTTCGCTTCATAGTTTTCCCGCTTTGATTTTGCCGAAGTTGAAGACGTTTCCGTCCATAGAGTTTCGTTCTATATTGCAACGGGAAATCGGCAAATGTTCCTTCGCCAAGTCGGAAACTAATTCGAATTCTCAGGCGACGGATTCGTATCGTTTCGCTGGAGCTCTATCCATTTCTTCCTATTGCGCGTATCTTCCACGTTCTTCGTTCTTCCGCGCGCCGGGACTTTCTAAGGACTTGACCTGCTGTGAGACATGCGCGAAACAAAAGGGAGTTCGTGGACCGGTAATTTGGGACTCGGGAGTTACGCAGATGGGAAAGGTGAGGCGACTGCGAAGGCGAGAAAGCGAAAGATAGAAAGAGGAGAAGGACGAAAACTGGGCGGTGAACGGGCAACGAAATCAGCCTCCTCTCCCATCCTCGCTTGCGCATCGCACATGACTCGAGTTTCTAATTAAACTTAAACTTTTAATTGACTCGTTGTAAAGCAGTTTACAACGCATGCGCCCGCTTAGCCAGTTTTTCTCTACGGTGTCGTCCCGGTGTTCTCCAGTTCGACGTTTGTCTCCGCGTTTCCCTCGTCTTTACCGTGTTTTACCGCATGAATGGATCACAATGCCGAAGTTTGCTATCGATAATATGCCAAGATCTTATTAAGAAAAGTAGCTGAACATATTATATTCATTGACAGAAGTTTTTACACGTTTGTTATGAATATTATATTCATTAAGACGTGTTGCATTATTCTAATAAGTGTTATATGAGTTATATTATTTCTAACATTTATATATGTCATATTTAGTAGTTTAATAAAATAAAATTTCACTTAAATTTTGGATAATGAATAAAGGAAAGTATATTTCTGCTTCTTTTTTTTTAGTATATTTGTGGATATATTTTTATTTTAAAATATTTGTATATAATTATAAAATTTTTTTACCTACGATTGATTAAATTTGGTTAGATTAAACTAAGAAGCAGATATTATGGGAATAAAGATGGATCATGAATTTTTTGATGACTTGCATAAAAAAATAATATTATATATTCCATCGAAAATTAATTTTAATTCGATCTCTAAATACGAGGCTTTAAAAATAATACGGAGAATTAAAATACATTAAGTGAAAACAAAAATAAATGCATAATATGATTTAATTATATTTTTAATTATTATTGTAACAATTAGTCCGTATTAGTAACATTGCACATTGTATTGTGTCAGTCGGGAAGAAATCTTAAATTGAAAGCAAACTTGCGGTATAAAGTCGTTGATTAAATTTAACGACGCACTTTGATAATATAATCACATACAATTATGTGAATATAGATATGATTCTTATCAGTCATCGATACTTGTTCACAGGGTTTCGTATTCGCACCCACAGCTGGATCGTATTGCAACGGATCTCAAAAGACGCTCCAATATCCGTCTGGATTCTAAAGTATACGAAACGAAAGGTCGGATATCGATCGCTATCAGTCACCGCTGGAACGAATTGAACAAGACTTCAACGGGACTAATCTTTCCGCGTGCTTTCGTGTTGTTGGTGTGCTTAATCCACGTGATGAGTGTGTGCTCCTCGTGTTAAGATTTCAATTCGTTTCTGAGCGCGAACGTGATTCGTGAATCGAGAGTGTCCTGTGCTGTTCGTAGTTCGCCCGAAACCCTAGAAGTAGCTTGTTCGTGCACGTACTGTAGAGTTTGAGGGTTGACGCCTTCAAACCGCAAGCGTACAATAATCCTGTCTTCCTCAAGGATAAACGAAACCGAGCGAAGGAGGCACCGACATCCGGTTGCCAAACGGACTCCCATGAAAATGCTACAGTCGCTAAACGCTCTGGCGGGTAAAATCTCGCCAGGCTCTCCTACCGATAGCAACGCCAACAAGGTGCATATGCATAATAACAACAATAATAACAACAACGTGCATCACCATCCCTACTCCAAACAGCAGACCCAGCCGTCCCCGTCGCACTCTGCCAACGGCGACCAAAAGGAAAATACGTGAGTTTTTTTTCTATTGTTTTTATATTGCAAGTTGTCCAAAAAAAAATTACAAAAAGGATTTTTGTGTATTGTTTATTTTAAGTTAAATACAATCATATTTTTTAGAATAATAGAGAGATAACTTATTTTTAGATAGTCGATAGTATTTTGTTCGTTTTATTATTAAATTTTGGTAAATACTGTAAATACTAATGTGTAATTACACATACATTTGCATGTTGATAATTTTTGAGATCTTTTTTTATTTTTCGTCATTTTTTTCAAACATTTTTCACAGTTGAGGAATAAACTGTTATTGGGCAAATCATTGTTTTTCAGTAAATATTATAATATTATATAACAATAAAGGATAACGTTGGATTATTTCCTATTGAGGTAAATTGTTAATTGCAATAACAAAACTCTATGATGTTTATTTGTATATTGCTGAATAATTACTGACTAATATCAGAAAGTAGGTCGCCCACATGTTGCAATTACTCATTTCACACTAATAATAGGCTAGGAAAATTTCTACATTATCCTAGATCGGCAAATCTCATAGCAATCTGTTAAAATGTTTTGTTTACACTAATATAGCTTACGTATATCATACAGAACTCCGTGTTACGCCTAATTTCAATTAATTAGCATATTCAAGAGGTGGTTGCAACAATGTTAATATTAACGTAACATATATAACTGAAAGTTTCTTACTTTATATTAATAACATAACACAGCATAGCATAGCACTAGCACTATTATATCCAACAATTGTTACTTAATACGCGAGAAACAGTTCTGCTATTGATGAATTTGAGCTACGTCACTAATTTAAATTACATTTGATTCTAGTATAACTGTTAACTGTGAATAATGAACTAATTTTTGGAAAAAACTAAGTACTAAATTAAAAATACTCTTATATCTTAAATTATCATGATACAATTGAAGGATTTCCCATAAGAACCAAATAAATTTTTTTTTATCTGGATTATGACGTTCAATTTTTCTCTATTAATAACGTCACATACTCGGACGTCACATACTCGTAACGTCACATAGTGAACAATTTTGTTTCAGTATGAATCAAATGTTTCAGCAAAAGAAAACAGGAAAATAAACGTTTAATATTTGCAAAGAATGTTTTTGTTAAGAGTTTATAAAATTTTTCAAATAAATATTTAAAAAAATTTTTTTGCTTTGTACAGAAATTTTTGTTATATTTTATCGAAAATTTTATTGTGTTTATAGTGATATAAAAATAGAACAATTTGACAATTTAAATATTATTGATAATGATAGGAATGTTTAATATATGCAAAAGATGTTTTATAAATAATATAATAAAAAAATTGTATATTGCTCTAATACAAAATATTTACAAAGCATTTTGTAAAATTTACAAATTACATTTTTTAATGTTATAATAAGATTAATTGTTATTATATACATTTTAGCACATACAACTTCCAGGAATTAGAGATTATTAATAAAGTCAGAGAGAATCACATAAAATTCTTCGAACCATGTTGTTCTAATTATTGTGATTTTCAAAGCAAATTCTAAGAGAAAATTCTCTCTGTATATTTTAAATAATACTATTTTTTTTATTTTATCATTATTAAAAATATTATAAAAAATAAATGTAAAATTTAATATAAAATGTAAATAGATAACAAATATAAAATATCCGCCAAACAAGTCTAAAGATTTTTTAAATGGATTCACTTAAATTATTGATTAAAGTCTAACACTTCGTTTACATATTCGGAGAAAAATTACCATATTTATGCAACGAACAGTTTAAACATGAATAGGTTTTTTTATTTTCTGTAAATTTAACCTTCTGTTCGGTTTTTGTGAAAAAACTTTAATTAATTTGGTATGATAACGTTTATATAATAATTGTATCATTCTAAAGAAAACTTTCATTATATCTTATGACATTTTTATTCATAAAAGATTGAAAGAATGCTGTTTCTGTCGTAACAATTGCGAAAATTCTTTTATTTTCGCTGAGAAGATACTGTGGCGTTTTGAGTAATCGTTAACTTTAGACTTCTATTTTTCTCTCTGTTTTAATTCGTGACGAACGACTGGAAAATGTAATTTAACGCTTATTCTGTACCGTTTGTTGTTCGCTTCCTTTTTCCATAATTTCATTGCTCGTGAAAACTGAAAATGAGATACTTCTTGACATAGAAAAAAACGTGCTATAAGAATATCGGATACAAGACTTCCTTCGTAACGAAAAGTCAAACGGAAGAGAAAAGGAAGCATATAATATTAGAGGCACAATATATAAGAAACATTACGCTTTGAAGCGTGTTGCCCCTTCCTTCCTGTCGAGTCAAGAATCCTTCGGAACATCTTGATCAACAAAGACAAGATTTCGTTAAAATAAACAACGTAGAGGTCCAAATTCTACTAACTGCATCTCAACGGCTTTCAAGAAAGCGCTCGAAAATGCGACCTGCTTATGTCATCATAGATAACCCGTAACTTTTTCATAAGCACGGCTTTAAAAAGTCTGTTTACGAGGACAAAGAGGCTCCTAGAACAAGGGTTCATGTTTCTACTCTATGTTCCTTTTTAATGGAAAAAGTATTTATGTGCAGAAAATGTCGCGACGTTCTTCATCATCGTATTTAAAAGTATTTCCTTTAGCGCGTGAGCTCTGCTATTCTTTTAAGAATCATAAAAGAGACTGAGAGAGAGAGAGAGAGAGGTGGTGTAAAAAAAAAAAATAAAAAAAAGAAGGCTAAGGGAATGTTTTTCTCTCAGTACGGGAAAGTCAAGAGAGTATTGTCGCGGCGACAAAGGGCTCTTCTTCATTATTTTGTTACGTCACGTAAACGCATCTCTGTAGAATGGGAAAGAAGTTGGGAAGGCCTAAAATAACTCGCTGGCATTCCTCGATGTGAGAGGGCTAAATCCTCTCCCTCAACCTTCGGTGCGACATTGCGCCATTCTTCACCTTTCTCATCGCTGCTCCTAAGTCTTTTTCATCTACCCCCTGCCGAGTGAATGTCACTAAAATATGTACCCGTCTTATGTAAAACGAGCGCGATTCGAAGAACGGAATTTCTCCTTCCTTTAGATATGCTGAGACTCGCTAAAATTTCAGTATAATGAACGAATGCATTCGAATAATCTGTAAAACCGAAAAATTGAATTATATACACTAAAATGCATTTATTTTCAATTAGCTAGTTGCTTAGTACTCGGTGAATAATAAATTATTCATCAAAAGAGGGCCCTTAAAAAAAAGTTGATAGTGTCCATTTATCAAGTACAACATATTTTTTGAATGAAACGCTCGTAAATCATTCGTGTAACGTATTCAGTTTCTGTATAACGTAAATAAAAAAGTAATAAAAAAAATAATAAAAAAGTAAGCTTATATTAAATTATTAATGCCAATAATACCCATTTTTTATTAAATGAATAATATACATTTTATTCCTATGAAATTAAATTTTTATATCGTATGCTATCAAAATAGAAAAAAAATATCATACAATAATAAAAGTAAATTATTGAATAGGCCGAATGTAACAGTACTTTGTCAGAGATAAATTCTTTTTTTAATATAATTATTTAACGCGCTGCCGATAAATCATATAAAATAGTATCGCTAAATAGAAAGCATAACGTATTGTTACGTATATTGCTGGTAACATAAAATAAATGATATATCGATGTGCGCACGACATATGATATTTATTTTAATTTTACGCCATGTAAATATATGTGTCGATATTGCTATATGACGCATTATTTATAGCATTATCTGCTATGTATTGCCACAATGAGCAACTCGATTGCATCGTTTACCTTAATAAGCGGTGCACAATACAATAATATAAATAATTTTATCTAGATAAACAATACGCGTTATATTCCTTCTAAATCATGTGATGGACGATTGTAAGTTAAATTGTTACATAAGTTTACAAGAGCACACACACACATACACACACACACACACACACTAACAGTATACTAACACACTAACGGTATACTAGGTTCCTTGACAATTGTAGGGTTTAAGTGATATGTGCGACTCTAGGGAGGAATTCATTTAACAAAAGGGTCGCTGTGGACCCTAAAGGTCGTACGGGGGTCTCTTTATCTACATTCGAATGCTTCACTGCGTGGGAAACACATAGAAATTAATTTCTACTTGTCGACAGGTACGATTTCTATCTGCTTGCCTCGGAGAACGATTAGGATACCCTGTGCAGTTTACTCACTGTAAATTACGTAAATATTTGTCGCTTTCGAGCAACGTGAATAGTGTTCTAGATTTACGCGCATTCGTCGTATTATCGCGTCGTATCTAGATAAACGCTGATAACAATTTTTATCAAATCGTATACCACCATCTTGAAAGACACAAATTTTTTTCTCGTGCTTTATTTGCCGAATATTCTTGTTATTTTATATCATATTTTACGTAATATGTACATATTTTTATTTAAAAATCTGTTTGTATAAAATCAAATAATACGTTTAAGAAAGATAACACCATGTATAGATACTAAGATTAAGATCTTAACATAAATTTTTAGAATAATGATATATACAAATAGAAATTAATTATAAAATTATTGCCGTGTTGATAGAATAATGAAAAGTGGTAGTTCGGAACTTTGCGTCGCGATATCTTTGCTTGTAGGGTACGTGGAGAAAAAATAAAAACACTTTCATTATATATTCCGAGCGGTTGCAATCGATTGAACATATTTAGAACTTGATCGATTCAGCCCTTATTGAGTTTCCGATAACCTCGATCTGACGCAACTCGCCGGTTCGCGAGTCAAAGGAGGCACGTCAGTGTCTCGCGCCATAGCTTAGCGCCAAGACACTATCAGTGTCTCCAGATAATACACGTCAAAAATTAGCATTAAGATTGCATTCGAATTTGTAAAACTCATGATATATAGTTTAGAGATTATGTATAATTAAAAATACAATATAACAAAGAAAGAAGTAAAAATTATGGAAAAAAG